CCTGAAGTTTGTGCCTACTCTTCCCATGGGAAAAGTTCCCAGACTTTTGAGGAAACTTTTTAAAACTACTCTTCTTGCTATTATATTTTAATAGATACCTTTTCTAAAAAGCTAATTTGGATTTATTAATTATTAATGAGAAGTTAGGGGTGGGGGATTCTGTGTAACAGTACTAGAATCCTGGTCCCTTAAAATTATTGCCTAGAATCCTAATACTAATAGTCAGTTGCCCTTTGGGGACCCAGATGTTTGTGAGAGGAAGTTGGGGAAGTAGTCCTGGAATTGGTGCCATACTGGGGGGAAGTATAAGGGCAGCCAGGTGGTATAGTGCATAGGGTACTGGGCCTGGAATCAGGAAGACTCATCTCCCTGAGTTCAAACCTGGCCTCAGACACTTAGCTATGTGACCCTGGGCAAGTTACTTAATCCCATTTGCCTCAGTTTCCTCCTCTGTAAAATGAGCTGGAGAAGACATAAATGCCAAACCATTCCAGTATCTTTGCCAAGAAATCTCCAGATGGGGTAACTAAGAGTTAGACATGACTAAACAACTGAACAACAACAGGGGGAGGGATAGGTTATCCAGGATAATTTGGGGGTCTTTTTGCATTTAAAGTGACCCAATGGGGACTTCATATGGGACTTTTGGTCTTAGATACCTTAGTTTGCAGAGATTCACTAGATAAATATCAGCATTTTTTTCTTTTACTTTACACTGTACTTGAACAGTCTTTTCTCGTGTTTTCCCATTGAGTCCGATCAATTCCTTTGAGATGACTTGTTTGTTTGAATGTTTAGTACTAATATATTATTTTATTGCATCTATTTATTATCCTCACAGGATTGTTTTGATGATCAAATAAGATAATATTTGCAAAGTGCTTAGAATAATGCCCGGCCAATAGTAGGTATCACATAAATGCTAGTTTATTGTTGTTATTGTTACTACCTACATGTTCAAGTTCATCCAACTATTTATTTGCAAAAAATTCACAAATGCCCATTTTTTTCCTTTTGGGCTTTAATCAGATTTAAATTGTTTATAATATTGTGATAGAATCTAAATAATTTGTTATTTTTGTGGACTTCCAGTTCTTAGGATAAGATTTACTGGCTGGCATATAAATCCTGAACCATTGACCCCAAACGTTTAATTCAGTTTGGGAGATCTACATTCTAAGTAAGTTTTCTAAGTGCATTCTAAGTATGCTATTTTTTTTTTTAATTGACTTGTTCTTGTTAGGGGTGAGTTAGGAACTCTATTCGGAATATGCTCTTCACTGGCAGTGATCCTTTGAGGAAATTTCAGGTGCTTTATGGTGTAGTGATCCAAAAGAAATCTTTCTCTGGACCTCAAGGGTAACTGGGTGATATTTTGATGTGCTCTGTGTCTTATGGAGATATTTTGTCCCGTATTGCCCTATAACTAAAACAAATAATGGAGTAATTTTCACCCAGGGCAATTTTTTTTTCTCACCTGAAGGTGAAGAAGTGACTTCTTGTTTTCTCAGGTGCTTAATCTCTGTGAAGAGAGTACCACATGTTCTAGAAAGCCCTGTAACAGCCAACTTTTACTCTGAGAAGGGAGTGCCCAAGCTCCTTCTTTCTTACTCTCACCCCAGGGAGAGTGGGTCATTGTTGTTACAGAAGCACCAAACCACTTTCATTTGGTTTCTAACTTGATGGGTGAATTCATGACTTCTAGCTGCCTCCACATTCCTAATCCCAGTGCAGAGGGTGGGGAACTCTTCTGGGAGCTCTGCATTTTGATGGGAACTTCAATTTTATTTTCCTTTATTGATTAGTAGTTGGGAAAGGCCTTTTGCAAGCACCAAGCTAGTCTGTAACTTATGTGAAACTTGTAAAAAATGTTGGTCTGTTAAGTTGTATCAACACATATTTTGAAGTATGGAAGAATGCTCATTTCTTAATCACTTGGGAAATGTGCCACATGGAATTTTTTGAGATTTTTTAGAAAAAGACACTGAATAATGCTTAAACTTCCCCAAGTAAGGGAAAAACTACTCAGCACTTGGGACTAGGAACTTTGTCCAAAGCACTATTGTTGATTTGCTGCAGCTTGCAGAAGTTTAACTAGGGAGAGATTTTAAGAGTAGGGTACCATTCCACTCATCTCAATTAATCACAGGTGGCTTAGATATTTCAACTGAATAAATCAGTAAAAAATATAAATCAGACATGAGTAAGTCTTGTAATCAATTTAAGAGGATTATAATGCTTTGACTAGTGGAGAAAGGCTCCTCAAAGAAAACATCTTTCAATTAGTTGAATGAATCAGACACACTACTAGGCTTGCATATAAAAATAAGTCAATTCATTGATAAGCTCAGTCAAATTTAGAATGAGACTACTGGTATTGGTAACATAGACCTCTCAAAGCTGCTCTCAATATGTCAGGCTAGTTTTGGAAATAACTAAATAAAATAAATGAATGTAAAAGGCTGGATTTTGACTGCAATAAAATAAAATTATACTTATTTTCTCCTCACATAATAATCAGGAATCACAGTGGTACTGTTTATTCTTTGGACATTGCTTAGAGTTTGGTGCTCCATTCACTATCTTATAGTCAAATGTAAAACAAACTTTTTGTATATGTTAATGTGTCTTTGAATGCAATGCTGTTTATAAATTTATCAAAATGAAATATTTCTTTTTCTGAATATATTTTCAAAAACCTGAGCAACTGAAATCTCAAGTATCAAAGTTGCAAGGAAGGTCTTGGTCAGGGGTTGAGTGTTTATAGACCTCTTTAACCTCTTAACAGCTAAAGCATTTGAAGGTTGCAGTCATGATTAGACTACTCACTATATAACATTATAGATTTCTCAAATGGATGATGGGATTTAATTTGTAGAAATAATTTTCCCTTTCTGAAAAATCATGCCTGTAAATTAGTGAAACTCCTTAAAGAGTTCTGTAAATTACAGAATAATTTTACAACAAAGGAACTCCGCACATAAAAATCAAAATGCAAAAACAACAACAAACTATATGACTCAATCAATAAATTTCATAGTATGGCACAAATAGGGCCTATCATATTACATTCTACTCTTTAAAAGCTAACATTGTTCTTTATCCAGTTTCTACTGAACTGCTTTCCAGTTTCCCCATCAGTTTTTGTCAAATAGTGAGTTCCTGTCCCAAAAGGCTAGATCTTTGAGTTTACCAAATGCTAGATTACTATCATTATTCACTACTTCGTATTGTGTACCTAATCTATTTCACTGATATGCCACTTAATTTCTTAGTGAATAGTAGATTGTTTTGATGATTAACACTTTGTAATACAGTTTGACATCTGGAATAGCTAGGCTACCTACCCCCTTACCCTTTTGATTACTCTGATATTCTTGACTTTTTATTCTTCCAGATGAATTTTGTTATTTTTTTCTTTCTCTAGAAAATAGTTTTGGTAGTTTGATTGTATGGCACTGAATAAGTAAATTAATTTACATAGAATTGTCATTTTTATTACATTGATTTAGCCTACCCCTGAGCAATTGGTATTTTTCCAATTGTTTTGATATTTGTGTGAAAAATATTTTGTAATTTTGTTCATATAGTTCCTGAGTTTGTCTTGGCAGGTAGACTCAGAAGTATTTCAAGTTGTCTACAATTATTTTAAATAGAATTTCTCTTTCTATCACTTGCTGCCAGAATTTGTTGGTAATAAAGAAATGCTAATGATTTATATGGATTTATTTATATCCTCCAACTTTGCTAATTTTTTTTACATTATTTCAACTATTTTTTAGTTGATTCTCTAGGATTCTCCAAGTATACCATCATGTGTATTTTTTTTTAACTTTCTTTTCTTTCTGGGAAAACCTTAGACTACAATCTGTTAAGAATTCTATAATTTATAATTCTATAAGTAGCAACTTTCCTTGGGAATCCAAAGTGGGTGTAGAATGAAATATGGGACAGCTTAATTCTCCTATTGAGAACTAAGAAAACCATGGAACAATAAAACCGGTATAAAATCACATAACACTTCTGAGAACAGAGCTAGGAGGAGAAAGAATTCTGAGGCATTACAAGTCCCAATAGTAGTTGCCTGGTTGCCTGTAGCCAGTATGCTAGAAACTTGACTGGTAAAAGAGGAGATTCACAGGTCTGGTGGGGAAGACAAATGAGAATTTCCTCTTTTTTGCATCTCATAGGGAGGCTTTAGATTATAGAAGTTTAGATCTGGAAAGGACTAAAGAAATCATCTAATACAGCAAACTTCATATTTCACAAATTTCATTTTTAGTCATTTTAATCATTTTACTAAGGAAAAAGAGACTCTCAGGAACAACTCTAAATCACTTGTACTCTCTATTGTTGATGCAAATATTTGTGAGAAAGCTATTTGCTTTCCTAATGAAATAGAACACTTTCCTTCTGAATGCTTTTTTAAAGAAACGGTTTCCTTTAGCAACATTTTATGTAACTGAAATTCTGAAATTGTCTGAGGCATTATCTCATGAAATATGGTGATTAGTAATGCTTTTAGTGTGTGAGTGTTTGTGTCTGTGTGTCTGCATGGGACGTTAAGGTTTCTATAGCTGTGTGAGTGTGCGTATGCAGGTTTGCATATGGATTTACTTATAAGCAACATTTTATCCTAAACCTAACATAGTTAAATTAAAATTTATGATAAGAAAGCTTTTTGTAAACTATTGGGATTATGCTATAATTCAGCAGTCAGAAAAATAGATTTTCTACATTTAGTTTTCATGCCAACTTTAATCTGTGTTGCTAATTGCTAAGTGCTTGTTGATTCTACTGCTGTGGATTTACCTATTAGCTGTTGGACATAAATTCACTGACAAAAAGAATAGAGCTATAAGCTACAGAAAGTTGAACTCAATAGAAGAATGAAAACAAAAATATTATAATATACTCAAATAAAAGTTGTCACACATCTCCCACCGTTATCCTCAGGAGATTCAATGCATCATCAATGGTGTATTCTATCATGTACTCACCTGCCAAACCAAGTGCTCCTTTACTCCTTCTGTAGTGGAGAGACAGATGCTCAGCACAATGGTGTGGGATGAGGAGGTCAGTACGCTGGCAATTATGGCATCTCTCATGTTGAAGGGCAGCATAGTGTATACCACAAAGATAATGAATAAAAAAAATGATACCTGTGAGGAGGAAAAATAGAACAGTCAAGGCCATATTGGAGTCAGCTTCTAGAGTTTTTCTTCATGATTTTCTACATGAGACTACCTAAGGCAACATGAAATTCTGTGTCCATTCAAAATTTAGCATTATTCTCCAAATAAAATGAATGAAATTATTTTAAGTGAACAATGATAATGGTCTCCTCTATTTGGGGCAAAACAATACTTTGTGAAGCTCTTATGTTTCAGAATCATTGTAATCTGTTAGATTTATTTTTCAAATACTTGGCAAAATAATTATCACATAGCCACCAATAGAGATGACTAAAAAAGAAAAAAAGGAAAAAAATTACAATCTATATTTGAAGTTTGACAGTTCTTTTCAAACAAAATTTCACAATTACACCTATCTATTTAATTAATGTTGAATAGGAATAGATGATCTTTGAACCATCCACACAATTGCATTTTTAAACACCTAAAATCAGTAGTAATCATTCTTCATTTGCAATGGAAAAGATACGGCTTAAATTATTCAAATCTTGACATTTCCTAAAGGCAGCACTGTTCCTTTGATTAACATGTGACCAGGGTAATCATAAATAGCTTCATCTAATTAATTGACTGCTCATAATTCATTTGAATTCTTTTTCCATGGAAAGCATATGTGCACAGTCACTTATGACCTAAATTTAAGTGCTTAAATTGGAAAGAGAGAAATCTTGCTATTACTGAATCCGTTTGCATATATGTCACTAAGTACAAAAATTTAAAGACATCTAGAATCCTATATAAATACCTATTAATGTAAATTTTACTCCCTAAACCCTAGGTAAATCGGGATCAGCCTCATAACTCAAGAAGGATAATCAGTATTTTTCATTTACCAGTTATTGGAGTGGTGATACAATAATTACTATATGTCATATAATAAAGGAAAAAATCTCTAATAAGTAGAATCTAGCCCTTGCCTTGCTATATACTTGGCTTGATTTCTCAATATCAGCAGAAATAACCACGTGATTTTCTTATGATAGTGATAACTGCTTGAGCCATAATTCATCTTATTCACATCTTTGTAATTCAAAATAACACAACAACTTCTATTAAAGAGTATACACAGATATGGACATGCTCACGTCCTTTCACCCTTTGTCTAGACACAAGACATAGTATTTAGTTTCAAGTGGGCCCATTCAACTGTTCAATAATTATTTTATTGATTTTTTTTCAATTTTCTAACAGATTTTCCTTAATAGTCATTCCTTATCTTCTCTGTTCCCAAGCTCCCAATGACCCTTTGAAACAGGCCCAGGGGATGAGCTAATCTACTTCCTCGATGGTAACCAAGGGAGGTTGTATAAATTTCCAATGTATGGTAAAACACACAGCAACAAAATTGCGTGTGTGTGCGTGTGTGTGTATTCTTTTATAGCTAATCTCAGAAGAGAAGGGATTTAACTTCTTAGACTTTATTTAACTCCTTTAAATTAATCTCTCTACCATATCCCTTAGTAGTATCACTTTTTGACTATTATGAAGTCATCCTTCTGTGGCTATTCCTTACCCATCTAGCATTTTAGCAATCACTTTCCCTATCTTCAATGATTCACAAATATTAGCTCTCTTGGAAAGTAAAAGAGCAGCAATAATAACAAATGCTTTATTCTTTGCTGATCTTTGTATACAATGGATTGGCTGAGATACTAGACCAAGGATAGGGAACCTGCAGCCTCAAGGTCACATGTGGTCCTCTAGGCCCTCAAGTGCAGCCTTTTGGTTGAATTCCAACTTCACAGAACAAATCCCCTTAATAAAGGAATTTGTTCTGCAAACTTGGACTCAGTCAAAAGGCTGCACCCAAGGACCTAGAAAGCCACATGTAGCCTCAAGGCTGCAGGTTCCCCACCCCTGAACTAGATGCTGAAAGGATCTTAGGGAAATATAAACTATATAGAGATTTCTTGGAGTTGGATCAATCAACGAGCCTTTCTTAAACATTGATCATGGGCCAGGCATTGTACTAGGCCTTGGAGATGCAAACAGAAAACAAGAACATACTCTTTTAAAAATGTCTCTTTGTAAGCTCTTTGCTCAGTTCATTTTAATTATAGGAAAGATGGGGAAGTTAAGGATACAGAGGAGAACCAACAGAATACTATCCCTCTCTAAGATATACTATGGCTAAGCTAAAAGTTCACACTCTGACACAAAACTTTGTTAATCTACAAAGCAAAGGTATGGGAACAATAATGATTAATTAAGGATCCCCTGCCTTCAATGAACTTCCATTGTATCAGAGAAAACAACATTTGTATATAAGTAAATAGAAATCTATCTATCTATTTATCTATCTATTTAGTAGTTTAATATAATTTCAATTAGAAGGCATGAGCATCTGGGGGGAATCAGGAAACTTCTGATGTAAGAGGTGGTGCTTCAACTGAGTTTTGAAAGAAATGATGAGGTGGGTGGAGAGCAGCCTGTGTAAAAATGTGATGGAATTTCATGTGAGAAGGACAATGAGTTAGCCAGTTAAATTGGAATGAAGAAAAGTTAAAGAGAAATAACGTGTAATAATTTTGGGAAGGCAAGCTAGTGCTAGGTAGTGATGGTATTTAAAGGCCAAATTAAAAAATATATATATTTTAACCTAGAGGCAACAGTGAGCCACTGGTAATTTTTGAGCAGGGGACTGTTATGCTCAGACCTTTGTACTTTGGGAATATTACTTTTGTAGCTATGAGGACAACGGATCGGGAAGGAATAGAATTAAAGACAGAGGAAGGCTTATTAGAAGGTGATTACAATACTCTAGGTGAGATATAACAAAGACTAAAACTAGGATCATGTTTCTGTGTATATTGAATATGGGATGGAGGTGACAGATTTTATGGAGATAGTGTAAAAGAAATAGCCAATTAAATACATATGGTAAAGGAGATTGAGAAGATGAGGATGGCTTCAAAGCTCCATCAGTGACTGGAAGGTGGTAAAGCTCATCTTCATGAAAGGAAAGATAAAGAGGTCTGCATGGAATATATTAATTTTAATTATTATTTTTAAAATTTTCCTTTCTTTTCAAATTTTGACTTCCAAATTCCAATACCCAGTGAGAAGGCAAGCAAATGATATAAATTAGACATGTAAAATCATGCAAAACATATTTTCATGTTAGTCATATCACAAAAAAAAGAAAAATACAGGAAGCAAGAAAATTATACTTCAATGTGCGCTCATAGTTCATCAATTATGTCTCTAAAGGTGGATTTTTTTTCAGCATAAGTCCTTTGGAATTGTCCTGGATCACTGTATTGATCAGGGTAGCTAAGTCTGTCACAGTTGATCATCATTACAACATTGCTGTTACTGTGCATAGTGATCTCCTGGTTATTGTCATATCACCTTGAATCAGTTTATATAGGTTTTTCCATGCTTATTCTAAAACTGCCCCCATAACAATTTCTCATTACACAGTAATACTTCATCACAATCATAAGTCACAACTTGTTCAGCCTTTCCCCAATTAATAAATATCCCCTCAATTTCCAATTTGTTGCCACCACAAAAAAAGAGCAGCAAAAAATATTTTTCTAGATATAGGTCACTTTCTTTCTTTCTTTCTTTCTTTCTTTCTTTCTTTCTTTCTTTCTTTCTTTCTTTCTTTCTTTCTTTCATTCTTTCTTTCTTTCTCAGACCTAGTAGTGGTATTGCTGGGTAAAAGGCTATGCATAGTTTTATGGCCCTTTGGGCATAGTTCTAAATTGTTTCCCAGAAGGATTGGACCAATTCACAACTCCACCAAGAGTTTTTTATGTTACCTATTTTTCCACATCCCTTCCATCATTTGTGGTTTCTGATAGGTGTGATGTACTACCTCAGAATTGTTTTAATTTACATTTCTCTTATCAATGGTGATTTATAATATTTTTTTATGTGACTTTCTTATTTCTTCTGAAAAAAAAAAGAGCCTGTTCATATGTTTTGAACATTTTATCACTTGGGGAATGGCTCTTATTTTTATAAATTAGACTAAGTTCCCTATATATTTGAGAAATGAGGCCTTTATCAGAGAAACTCATTGTAAAAGATTTTGATATTAGTTCCTTGTTCATGGTACCGTTTAGCAAAATTATTTTTCCTGATTATCTTTTAATTAGGACTATTTTTGCTTTTTCTTTATCAGGGATCATGATTGTTACCCTTGCTTTTTTTTTGTTTTTTACTTTAGCTGAAAATAGATTGTGATCCATCCCTTTATTTTAACTCTGTGTGTCTTTCTGCATTAAGTGCTTTGCTTATTAAAACATTGTTGAATTCTGGTTTCTAAACCATTTGGCGATCCTTTTCTGTTTTATGGGTGAGTTTATCCCATTCATATTCAAAGTCAAGATTTTGTGATTTAGTTGTTTTCAGTCATGTCTTCTAGAACCCTTCTGGGGTCTTCTTCACAAGGATATGGGTGCAGTTTCCCACATCCTTCACCATCTCATTTTTCAAATGGGAAACTGAAGCAAACAAAGATAAGAGATTTGCCCAGGGTCACATAGCTAGTAAGTGTCTGAGATTGGATTTGAACTCAGATCTTTTTGACTTCAGGTCTATCACTCTATCAACTTCACCACTTAACTATCTTTCACTGTTATGATTACTACCTGTATATTTCCTCCAACTTACTTTCTTCTGTTTATTTTTTATCTCATTTTATCCTGTCCCTCCTCAAAAGTCTCTGCTTCTGACCACTCCTTCCCTTAATCTAATCTCCCCTGTATCATTCCCTGCCTCCCTCCATATCTCTTTTCCCCTTCCCTTCCTATTTCCCAATTAGGTAAGAAAGATTTCTCTACCCTACTGAGTGTTTATATTCTTCCCTCTCTAAACCAATTCTGATGAGAGTGAAGTTCAAGCATTGCCTGCCACCCCCATTTTCTCCTCCAGTATAAAAGCTCTTCCATGTGTGCCTCTTTTATATAATAAAATTTCCCTATTCCACCTCTCACTTACTCCTACTCCAAGTGCAT